TGCTGTCTCCACTTTGCCATTTGACGTGCCTGTCTCCTCCACCAAAATGTAGGGGATTGGGTGCTGGGCAGCACTGGTACCGGCCACATAGTAGGTTCTCCGTAAACGTTGTTGAATGACTAAATAAATGCATGATGGCACAATACAACACCGCCTGAGATTAATGCCATAAGAGAAGTTTTGTGTCTTATTATCATTAAATCTCAGAGCCTGGAGCATCATAATTGCTCAATAAATATATTAGAAGAAAAAAATGAAGCCAGTGCGGTGGTCACACCTGTAATCCTAGCACTCTGGAGGCTGGCGGGAGGATTGCTTGAGCCAGGAGTTGGAGACCAGCATGAGCAAGAGCAAGACCCCATCGCTACAAAAATAAAAAATTACCTGGCGTGGTGGCACATGCTATAGTCCCAGCTACTGGGAGCTGGGCAGGAGATCGCTTGAGCCCAGGAGTTTGAGGCTGCTGGAGCTAGTGCGCCACGGCACTCTAGCCCGGGCGCAGAAGAGTCTGTCTCCCACAGCTGCATCTGCAGCACCGGAACACTGCCTAGCAGAAACAGAAGGTAATGTAGCATGCCTGGTTATATTTTTTAAAAGCTTTCTGAGATACAACTCAATATCATTCTATCTATTTAAGCATACAATTTAACGGTTTTAGTGTTAACTTCAGAGAGCCCGAGGTCACGCCTCCCAGGGCAGCCTGGACCTGGTGACTGAGCAGGCAGGTATAACAACCACCTGGCCCTTGGCCCCTGGGACAACTCTGACAGCACCGCTCACTCCAGAGCTCTCCCTGGCTGGTCCCGGCTCACGGCTGCACGGCAGGTGGCGTCCCTCTGCCCATCTGCTCCTCTCCTTACTGTCACCAGTGTTGATCCCAGTGAATTTCTTTTTGTTGTTTTTTTCTTTTTGAGACAGAGTATCACTGTGTTGCCCAGCTAGAGTGCCGTGGCTCAGCCTAGCCACACGAGCAACCTCAACTCCTGGCTCAAGCGATCTCTCTGCCTCAGCCTCCCGAGTAGCTGGGACTACAGGCATGCGCCACCATGCCCTGGCTAATTTTTTCTATATATTTTTAGTTGCCATTAATTTCTTTCTATTTTAGTAGAGACGGTCTCGTCTGCTCAGCTGGTTTTGAACTTCTGACCTTGAGCGATCCTCCCGCCTTGGCTCCCGGATGCTAGGATACAGGCGTGAGCTAGGATTAACAGTCAGATAATTTGGATTTCAAAGCTGGCTAGATAACTTAGTCAAGCAGTCTGTCATACCAAAGGCACAGTCCTGGTCAGAAAAATCTGGCCCCTGACGCACGCGATGGAGACATGGATGGAATAGCCGGTGTGAGTCCTGAAGATTTGCATGCCCCGGGTCCTGAATCCTCAGATGGGGCCCAGCCCTCCCAGTTAGGAGCCAGCACTGCCAGTCTCGGACCTCTCGCGGGGCCACGCAGAGCCTCTCCCCAGCAGGACACCTGTGCCCCATCAGCGCCTACCTCCTCCTTCCTACTTCTAAGTCTGTAAGTACGTATCTCCTCGGTGCCTTTCTGGTCGTGACCGGACACGGCAGGGCCTCCCGTGTAAGCCCGCCCTGCCCCCTCCCAAACCGAGGCAAGCCAGAAGCTCTGGGCTCCCCTCTCCCCTCCTGCTCCTGCAGCCGCAGGTGACCGCAGGTGACCACAGGTGACCACAGGTGACCGCAAGTGACGGGGCTCCTCCCAAGTCCCCTCATCCCTGCCACCAATCAGCCCCTCCTCGAATGAGCCCCTTGCAGTGTAGCAGAGCCTGTCTCTCCGCAGAGAGGGTTGCGGGGAAAGAAACCAGAAAAGGCAGTTGTGCTAGCTCCCCGCCTGCCTGCCTGCCTCCCCCAGGACAGGTTTCCTGTGAGGCTCCAGGGTCCCCCGGGCCACCGCCCCCACCTGCCTAATCTCCCATCAGGGGCACCGTCTCCTCTGGGCCAGCCCAGAGCAGGGAGGCAGGCCTCGGCCACCACGGTGGGATCCGCCCCGCCCCCGCAGTCACAGTTGCCCGGGTGCACCCTCGGTGAGCACCCAGCTGAGCACCCAGCTGAGCGCCCTGCGGGTTCGTGACTCGAGACTGTTTGCAGAGCGCCGGCACCCACCGCGCCGCTGTTCTCTGGCCCTGGGCCCACGCGACACGCCCGCCCCCACACAAGCCAGGCGGGCTCAGGTTAGGCAGGTGCACCAGGGGCTACAGAGGAGGCCACGGCGGGCTGGGAGGCTCGGGTGCCGCTTGAGGCCTCTGGGACAGCAGGCAGGGCATGCGGTGGCCTTCGTTGTCATAGCCACCCAAACCTGGGGACAGCCCCACTTCCCTCTTCCCAGAATTCATTGTGTGGAGCCTCCTCAAGCCACTCTGGGCTTGTCCGCACTTGCCCCGGTCCCCTGAGTGTGGCTTCGGTGCCAGCCTCGGCCCTTCCCTGTCTTGACCCCACCACGCCTGGGGACAGCGGTTCCGACAGTCGCGGCAAGAGCAGGGACCGTTTGTCCGCCGTGGGCACAATGTTTCCTCCACCTGTGCGCGTGGCCACAGTGCCATCCTCTAAGCACACGCCGCCACGCCACTGATGACTCCTTTTCTCAGCTGTCACAGCTGATTCACCAGCAAATCCTTCGGCTCCACCACCAGAACACAGTCCTGCTCTCTCCCTTTCTCACTCACGTCTAGTGAATATCCACGGACAAGGGATAAGAAGGCATTATCCGGCCGGCGCGGTGGCTCACGCCTGTAATCCTAGCACTCTGGGAAGCCGAGGCAGGAGGATTGCTCGAGGTCAGGAGTTTTCGACACAAGCCTTGACCAGAGCTGAGCGTTCTTTTATACCTAAAAAGAAATTGATTGGCCAAACTAAAAAAAAATATATTAACCGGCTACGCAAAAATTTAGCCCAGGCGATGGTGGTGCTCCCCTGAGCTCCCAGCTACTGGGGAGGCTCGAGCAGGGGATGGCTCCTCGCGCCGGCGCTGTCTCGCCGAGGTTGCCCTCGCCGCTGGGCCTGGGCTGACCCACGGATATAAGCACAGGTAACAGAGTGGAGACTCTGTCTCGCAAAAGACGAAAAAAAAGAGGCATTGACACTCCACTTTTTCGTCTTGGGGTGAACTGGAGACTCGGAGAAGTCCCCAAAGGTCTTCTATTTCCCAAGCACAGGCCAGGCGTGAGCCCCCTAAGCAGCCTCCCATGACTGGGCCTCAACTCCGGCGACCTCCACAGAGTTACACCCTGGGTCTTCTGTGACC